ATGGGGGGCCTCTGCAGCAGCAGCGCCCCGAACCTTGTCTCCTCGTCTCCACTGACAATCAAGGAGGAATTCATGCCTTAACCCCCCTCACCAGCTATAGACACCAAGAGATAAGCACTATGCAGCAGAGCCCAGCCAGTCTGTGTGCTCTGAAGAGTGACAGCCCCTTCCCAAAGACACGGTGGTCCCTGGCTGAACCAACAGGGTGGCCAGAGAGGCTGGGTGAGGTGGCACCAGGACCTTCCCAAGGGGATGGTGGGATCTCTCCTACGTAAAAACCACAGGTTAGGTAGCATTGCTCTCCTATAGGAAACACTGGTCTGGTCTCTGGTATTTGTAGCCCAAAGCGAGGTCCTAATGTCAGCTGAAGGATGGGAGTGGTGGTGGAGGCTGGCTTTCCTCCGGTACTTCAGGTGGAGCCGGTACGATGCTTCCTTCATGGTCCTTCTGGAGATCCATCTGTCAGGTGCTTTTGGGGGGGTGTGAACCAGACTGAAGTAGAAAAAAGAGCTGTCTGGACTCAAGGCAAAACAATTTTCCACTGAGCTGGTCTCCTGGATCTGCTGCGCTGGGAAGAAGGGTGCTGAAGATAGAGGGAGCTGGACTGTGGGAGCCTGGCTGGACCCTTGGCCATGGGACCCAAGGGGGGACTCCTTCAAACCACGGCAATGGTGGCAAGCCAGAGCACATCCCCACCCGTGTCCCGCAGCCACCCGGCAGCATCTGCTCCTGCACCCCCAGCTCTGCCCCTGCAGCCACACAGAGCCACACGGGGATATCTCTGGCAGCCCCGGTGTCCTGGCTGTGCCACACCCCCCTGGGGCATGGGGAGAGGAGAGGAGAGGAGAGAGCCGGGTGCAGGTGTGCTGGAGATGGACCGACCTGCTGAGCCCTGAGACCACCTTCCAGGGGGGAAGGGGAGGACAGCAAGAAGGTTTGCCATTGGGACAGGGTGCAAGAACCAGCTCCAGGCTGTCCGGAAGGGCTGATACTGGGAGAGTATCCAGCACCGCTCCCAGCCCCTCCTGGCCCAGAAAACAAGGTGCCCAGGCACGCTGAGGCTTTTACAAGCGAGTCCCTGCCATCCCACTGCACCCGCCACCCTGCTCCGGCTCTCGAAGGATTTGTGTCTTCCTCCTGCGGGGGCTGCTGACACCTCCCTGGGCCACCGCTGACAGCTGTGTTCGGTGGCGAGGATGAATGTTTGCATTGGCTCGGGACTTTGGCTCAGTTTTTGTGTATATAAGGCAGAACTGGATTTCCTTTTTATTTTTTAGGCATTGATGAAAATAAAAGCGAGCAGGAATCCCGCGCTCCACAAGTTTGTTGCTATCTCCTCCCAACCCACGATGCTGAAGCAGGGGGGCGATGCCGGCTCTGGGGTCACCCTGGCATCGATGCCCCCGCGCATGG